TTAGTACCCTTTTTCATTAGAGATAGGATATTTGAGTTTTCTTAAGCTGTATGCCATAATCAGCAATATTAAAATAATAAAAGGCTTGCAATATTTCAGTTGATTTGTAATGAATCCAGAATGTATGACATTTTTGTTTTTTTAATTGCATTACAGAAAATAAAGAACTTTATCACAATATTCTAATTTTCTGAGACAGTCCTGTATATAGAGTATAACTGAAAATGAACGTATTCCATTTTTCTTTTTTTATTCCTGCAGGACCATTACAGACCTCAACAGGAACCACGCCCTTTTCTCTTTATCTGCAACACCCGATCATAATGCTTTTCTCATATTCAAGCCTACTACTGATGGGATTCAAATCCATGTCCATCAGGGTCAAACTGAAACATTTGGGGGCGAGGACTACAAAGTGAACACGTGGCACTCAATATGTTCTACATGGGACTCTGTGACCGGTGTGGTGCAGCTGTGGCTAGACAACAAGCCCTTCATTAGGAAATATGTTGGTGGAGCAAGAATCAGAAATCCTTCTGTTATCATTGGACAGGTAGGTTTAATTTATAAGTAAAATAGTTGATAGCATTCCAGAAAAGTCTCTTGATTGGTTAAATTCTGATTCCCTTATTCTGTGAAGTATTGCTTGTAAAACAAAACATTTACTGCATGAAAATGTTTTTTTCACAGCTCACTACAGAAGCACTTTCTATCAAAGCTGTTATCTTATCAGTCTGATCATTTTACAGGAGCAGGATTCCCATGGTGGAGGATTTGACAAAACACAGTCTTTTGTTGGCATGATCTCTGATGTCCACATGTGGGACTACACCCTCTCCGCCTGTGAGATCCAGGAGTACATGCTTGACAGAAACCTAACTCCGGGTAATGTGCTCAATTGGAAGGCGCTGGACTACAGAACCTATGGAAGAGTGCTGACAGAACAAAAAACCACTTGCTCATGTACAGAATAAATACAAACAAATATATAAATTCCATACTCCTTACGAGGCTTTTCTTTTGAGTATGAAATTCAAACACCCTGTAAATCTGAACAGTGGCATTAATCAGCTTGATCAACACAATTACCTAATTTCTGACCACCATCTTAAATGTGTGTGTTTAATTTTCTTATTAAATCTGCAAATTGTTATTTGTAATTAGATGACATTTGTGATATCCTTTTGTCTGCCATGTTTGCTGAAACGTGTATGATACTCTTCCTGACAGTTCATTAAAAATGGCACATTCTGCAGTCCTGTCTCCTGGCCGTCATTCTGACTTAAATCTTTTAATAATCTTCATTTCTTTGCATTTATTGTATAGTTTTGACATTTTATTATTATATCATGGTCTTACCAGCATCAATGTTAAAAAAAAAAAGAAAGGTTTAAGGCCCAGACCTTAAGAGAATGGCTTCTGACTACAACTATTACAGTCTAGATATTGATCCTTATTTTGTGGGTTTTTCACTCAACATTTTATAACTCTATTACTGTACATTTTTGTTCATAAGCCTTTTTCAAAAAACACATTTGTCTCATTCATAAATGCTCATTTCACCTTTTAGGCAACAAGCAAAACCAGAACCTTTTAAAATGTCTGTAGCTGAACAACTGCTGTATAAGCAAAACTGGACAATAAAAACAGCAAACAAATTTAAAAAATGTGAGTTATTTGAGAGATCTGTATATTTCTGACAATCTTTAATTGTATCCAGTGTTACTCTTGAGGAAATCATTTCCAGATTTAAACAGTTTGAGGATCCCCCTCTTACAGCGACGTGCAGTCAGGGGAGGCAGAGCCTCTTTAGAAAAACTAAATAGTAATAATAATAAAATGTCTCCACTGATCTATGATGTAAGTGTGATTAATGTATGATTCCAATCGCTTTTTAAAGTCAAAATCAGCAAATTTGCCGAGCTCCGCTACAACTACGGGTAGCGATGAGAAGTGAGGCAGGGACGAGCTCTGCCTCTCGTAAGCCCACAGTAACTTGCTGGAGCGCGGGCACTAATTTAGCGCGTGCACTTATTTTGTGAGCGCGCTCAAGCCAGTTACTGTGGGGTGAGGTGAGGCACAGATGAGCTCTGCCTCACCTCAGAATGTGTCACCCCACAGAAAATGGCTGGAAAGCGGGCCCTAAGCGCATGCCTGTTACCATCTCACTGTAGGTCACCAATGTAATGTTTGTAGATCCCTTTATTAAATGTATCCTCGCCATCCATAGTCTCTAAATAACTTATTTAACGTATATATGATATTTAGGCTCGCTGGTCTCATCATATAACGGCAATGAAAAAAGCATCAGGAGAGGCAGCCATAACCTCTGCCGCACTGAAGGGGGCGCACGTGAGCCCACAGGTTCTTGTTGCTACTGTTATTCTACGCAGAGACGAGACGCAAACAACAAACTAGACTTTTGAAACTACAGGAAGATAAGGAGGACTTTTACAAAAAACTAATAGAGATTGTTGTCCAGAAGGAGAGCATGGACTTCATCTTCAAGTCAATGTAAGACCACAATTGTAATGAAAATGGGATCTTACTAAGAAAGAACAATCCAATATTTAGATGTTGGGTATCCTTTTGTTGAACGGTCTGTTTAAAATGAATCAAAGCATCAGACTAAAAAAGCTTTTGAAAATAACCGAATATTTCGATTAAGGTCAAAATACAATATTTGTAAATCTGACTCTGAAAGAGTCAGTGCCTCACCAGCCATGAACCTCACCGCACATCACTGCCATGTATGGTTTCCAAAGTTAGCATGGCACTAGTCATTGCTGCAGTGTAGACCTGTGTGGACAGACCATTTCCATTCTTCTGTTAATAATGTCCTGCTTATTCAAATAGTTAAATGTGTGTTAAACTGTTTAACTAGTTAAACTGATGCTAAATCACCATAGGCAGCTTGCAGTGCAGGAAAACAAAAGAAGAACATCATTTTGGCACATTTCCATTTATCAGTAGAAATTAAACAAGTAAAAGGTTCACATACCGAAAGGACTCAAATTCAGTTTTAATCAGCAATTAATGTGGGAAATAAAGATTATAAATTGATGGTTATTACCAGCTTGGATTTTAATCCTAAATGAACTACTTTAGTAAGGAATGACAGAAGCCTGATCTTGAATCTGCGATACATCATCTAATCCCATTCGCCATCACCTGTCACCATTTATCCCCACATAATCTCCTTGTGACTGTGCTCTCACTTTCACTTGTATAACTGTTTTAAGGATTAGGTGTCAAACCTTATGGTGCAATATTGTGAAACATGAAGCCTGTTACATGACATGCTAGAATGTACACTGGATGACCCTGATTGCAGTCAACTTGGTGGACTTGTGGATATATTGTGAATCAAATGTGGCATATGATAAGAGATGTTGCAAACAGTTTGGATATAAATGCAGTCAAATGTAAAATAAACAGAATTGATACAAATATTTATTAAGATTCAGTGTTATTTACACAGTTAAAGGAGGTCATATAACATCCATGCAGTTACAGAACAAATGAAAAAAATTGCTTTTATTATCCCAGAACATTTATGAGAATCATCAGGTTTTTGAGCCATTATTAAACATATTAACTTTTACATTTATCAAACCAATCTGGTGATATTTGTCTGTACAATCAATGACCATCATAAGCTTATTCGGCACATGTTGCCTGTAAGCCAAAATGTAAATGTATAATGCCTGGAAATGGGGGTGTTGGTTGAAGCTGCTAACACATTCAGGATTTCGATTTTTGTCGTTTACATTTCATGTGTATTAATGGATGCTATTTTCAATCACAGATTTGATCATGCTTCAAAACGGTGTGAAAAAAGGGTTACGGGGGGGG